GTCTGTTTCTGTTTTGTAAATAAGTTCATTTGTCTCATTTTTTTAATTCCACAGATAAGTGATATATGATATTTGTCTTTATCTGATTTACTTCACTTAGTATGATCATCTCTAGGTCCGTCCATGTTGCTGCAAATGGCATTTCATTCTTTTTGAAAATAGATTTTTAAAAGATGAGACAATTTCCTCTCAATTTCTCAAAATGTTGACTGAGAACTTTCCGGTTTTGGAAGGACCCCAGTGTATTTTCTGAAAGTGTCACCTCCTGAAACACGGTGTGTCTGGTGTGTGTGTGTGTGTGTGTGTGTGCGCACACACATGTATGTGCACTGCCTGAGTAACGGCTGCTGTTAGTTGAATCTCGCTGCGATTCTGCGTGTTCATTCATTATTTTCAAAGGTGCTGTTGTGATGCCCCTTCCCCAGTCCCATCTACTGGGCTGGTGAGGCTCCGCTTGGAGTGTTGGCTGCTAAAGGCTCACAGATGCCCCCACTTCTGGTAAAGTTGTCCTGGGCTAAAAGAGGAGCCACCTGACCCAGGACGTTGGTGGGAGGCCACGTCCAATGACTGACTGGTAAGCGGTACAAAAGGCTGGTGCCCTGGGCCCACCAGGAACAGTCCTGTGACGTAGTTACAGCTCCAGATCCCTCCCCTATGGTCCAGGTCCTGGGGGACTTTCCCTGAGGCCACATCCCCTCCTGCCCTCTCCTGCTTCACTCCTTCCCTCACAGCATTTTCCCAGAGAGCCCTTGCTCAAGAGATCAGGACACCCAAATCCCTGTCTCCAGCTGTGTTTCTAGGAAACCTCTTTCAATTTTAGACATTCAATTTCCTAATAAATAAAACATGAATAATAATTTCTGCCTAGTCTACTTCTCAAAGTTGCAGTGCGAAGGGCAAATTGTGTGGAATAATTTTCTAAACAGCCAAAGCAGTGAAAATATTTTGCAGGCAACATGATATACTATTTGTTTTAATATTGACCCTTAGGGGGAGGGTACAGCTAAGTGGCAGAGCACATGCTTAGCATGCACAGGGTCCTGGGTTCAGTTCCCAATACCTCCATTAAAAATAAATAGATAAACCTAATTACCTTCCCCTTGCCCCCCAAATAATATAATAATAAATTTTTAAAAATTAAAAAAAAATTGACCCTTAGGTTCTATGAAAGTATGGTTGACTTCTCCCAACTTGTGTTTTTTACTGTGGGCTGATGCCCACCGTGCTCGTTGCCCTGCTCCCTAGTGAGGGCTGCTTTGTTAAGCGTTGCTCACTTGTCTGCACTGCCCCGGGCACCGGGGCTCTCCAAGGTAGAGGAGGGACAGAGACGTGAGTCCAGCAAGTGACTGTGTCAGCGGTGAGAGCACACAGTCCGCCAAAGGCCAACTAAGCAGGAACCCAAGACCTGGTCTTGCCAGATCTTCACAGGGTTTTAAGAAAAGCCAGGCACCAGATTTTTATGGGAACTCTACAGCTTCTTAAATACCAACAACACATTTTTAAAACCTGTAACCCTCTACTATTCAAGTCAAACATAACGGGAGGCCCAGCTGGGCTAGTACTGTGTTACCTACGTCCAGACTTAAGCCCCTGAAGTAACAGAGCAGGTGATTCCCACTGAGGCCTCAGCAACCAGCACAGTGCTCAGCACAGGATCCGTGAGATCCTGGATGACCAGGGCCATCATTAGAAGTGTTGGTTCCCAAGGAGTTAAATGAATGACTGCTAGTTTTAATAAACAGTTCTCCACTTTGTAAAAACCACATAGCATACGAGTCTTTTCCCTAAACAGTATTACAACATGTGCAGATTTTTAGTCACTTGCCAGCTTGCTCTTGCACAACATTTCAAGGACACTTAGTCAGTTTCCTCATGTATTCAACAGAAATAATTATGCCTGATCTGAAAATAAGCAAAAGTATGTAAAAGGGCTTTATAGACAGTGGCAATCAAGTCGGATGTAAGAAATCACTGTTCTCTACATTCTGCCCTGGGATTGAAACCCCACACCCAGCAACCTAACACGAAACGAGGCTCTCTTATTTGTCTTCTAAGATTGTTTTTCCTTAACTGCAGTCATGATTTTTGCTATAAAAATTGCATCATTAGTTTTCATTACTATTAATTACCTAATGTTTTTCTTTAAGTGGAATATATTTTATTCTTACTATCAACCATCTTTTTCAATTACCAAGTTTATCTTTGCTTAAGTAATAATATCGATCAATGTATAGATTACATGTCCTAATATTTAATTTTTATACACATACATATACATAGTAATGTATACATGTCTATATGTGTGTGCATACATGTGTGTATATACATGTCTATATGTGTGCATGCATACATATATACAATAGTTATCAGTGTACCATCTAAAATCACCTTGCTTATCACCAATTATGCCTCCCATTTGGGACCATTCTACCCTCTAGGGACAGCAGAATTTTATAGAAAGATTTTCTGCCTCCATCAGTTTATTAACTTGCTCCCTGAGCATTTGTCTCCTACTCTCTATCATATGTAAACCTGGAACAGGCAGGAGAAAATTAACCCCATTGGTTCCACAAAATTTTAAACTGCTCCAAAAAACTTTGTAAGCCCATTAGCTTTGTGGCTAATGAATTTCAGGTAGGAAATTTATGCTCCAAATCTCCTCACTCCAGATTCCTGATTCAGTAATGCTCAGGAATCACAGAGGGTAACCCTGAGAGAGCCACGTTTGCAAAGTGGTTAAGCTCTCCCCTTAGCATCTGCCCCAGGGGAAGTGAGTTTTAATTAGTGAGTTTTAACACAGCAAAGTCCGGTGTTGCCTTCTCAACAGCTTTCATGCAGGAAGCTGTCTGGTGCTGTGTTCCTAACTATCCAACCACCCAGCGTAATTTCTAAGATTGTCTTTAGTCATTTAATAAGGTAATAGCATTCAACCCAGTCACCATTAGGGTACTGGATGATGTTAATAATTACAATCTGCGTTCAGGTGGCGCCTCTCCAGGCAAGCACTGAGTCTTACAAACATTATCTCATTTTCATCTTCATGACGCCCTTGTGAAGCAAGCATTTTTTATTGCCATTACTACAGACAGAGCAGCTGAGGCGTGAAGAGGTTAAACGCACTGCCCAGTCAGAGAGCAGATCTGAGATCACGGTGCTCCATCCTGGTTTGATGCTGTCTTACAGCACCTGCAATGTGCTCACGTATGGGTTTCACACTCAGTGCAGGGAACGTCTCTGAAAATATTTACATGAAGGTCAGTACACTCACAGTCTCTTTAAACTTTGTATTCAGTGTATCTAATTAGCAAACGAACATAGAGGTCTAGGCTGGACTCTGATATACTAAACACCACCTGCCAGATAACCTGTTTACTAATCTTCATGCAGCACACATATGTCGGGCACTGTTCTAAGTGCTTTATATGTATTAGCGCCTTGACTCCTCACAATGACCCCGTGAAGGAGGTGCTGTTCCATTCCTCACTGTACCGGGAAGAAAACTAAAGGAGCTAGACAACTTGCCTAAGGTCCCACAACTGGTCTAAGTGGCAAAGCTGAGATTCCGTCCTCACGATCTGGTTCTTGAGTTCACATCTTTAAAGCAGAACATTCTGCAGCTATCAAGCTTATAATAGTTATTTGTTTGAAAATGTACTATTTCTCTCTCTCTTTCTCTCTCTGTCTCGTCATTCAAAGGTTGTTTCTTACGTTAGTGGTTATCCACTTAACCCTATTATTTCAGACAGCATCTTCCCAGGTGGCCAATGATCCCATCCCCACCCCAACTGTGCTTATATTCTAGATGGATGACTCGCTGGTACTTTAGCCGAGTGACTGGGAAAGAGGCTTTCATAAGCTCAGCAAATCATCGATCCATTTCATTCCAAGTTCAACAAGGCACTGCTCCAAAGTACAGAAAAAGTCTGCCTTCATTTGCACTTTGGAGAAGGAAGAAGTGAAATTCTCCCACTAGTTTGCCCCAGGATCAGGATGAGTTTGTACAGTAAACAAAGGTATTTTTCACAAGTGACTTATGCAATATACCATACGTTTGGAGAGCATTCTCAAAGCGTTCTATGTATTCATTATTTCATTTGATCCTTACACAACAGCCAGTGAGATAACCGGGGAAACTAGATTTATAACCGCCATTTCACAGATGACAAAACTGAGGCTCAGCATCATTTAATAAACTTGTCCAAAGTCAAGCAGCTAATGAGCTACAGACGCAGAATGAATGCAGTGTCATGTGTTAATAAGCTCTGTAAATTATCTCATCTCATATTAGGCTTAATAGTTTCTGGTGATATCATTGCTAAAATCAGACCCTTAAATAAAAGTCAGAGCGTCAGAGCAATTCCTTCTCAGGGGTGCAGACAGGACATTTGAGAACATTTAATGATTTTCATGTTCCAACTCCCTTCTCCTTTTTGAGAGGAACATGAATTAGACTTTCCAGGGTCATTAAAAGGAGAAGCGTTCCCATCTGGCCACTTCTACCAAAAGTGGGACAAATGTGGGACTTGAACTTGCTTGCTTGCCCACTGCCTCAGTGAGGGGACTCTCTAGGTCTGAAGAAGAGCCATCTCCCTTGTTTCAGGAATGTGTCCCTTCTCTTCTGGTTATGGACACTGTGTGCTGAGAATTAGTTCCACTAAACAAGGAGAGAAAAGGCAATTCACTGGGGTGAGTAACGTATGGGCAAGGCACTGGTTGGGCCCTGGAGTTCAAATCTGCCAACTTTTACTTTCTCTATTAAATGTTTATTTTGCTCGTCCAATTGCTAGAACAATGGTAGTGAATCACCACTTGTTTAAGATTTTTTATACTTAGTCTGCCTGTTTATTATTGTTATTATTTATTTATTATTGATATTCTTCCAAACAGGTCATTATTGCAAACATTGGCTTCCCTATCCTCCTCTACGTATGATCTTTCCCTCTGCTCGACTGGGATTCAATCATTTGATGAGATCTTTTTCGGTTCTATTCCTGCCACCTCAGAATATCCTGGATTTTCTCCCCCAGTCAGTCCCACTGTCATGGGAAGAGGTGGCCTCCTCCCTTCCAAGGCTAAGTCAATCCCTTCTTCTGCTAGAAATCCCTCCCTTACCCCCTCATTGAGAATTTCACTCCATCAATTACAAACATCTCCCCCTGACACTCCCAACCCACTGTGTGTCTCAGCCTTTCTCTCTTTCCTGGAATGTTTCCCTGTGTCCACCAAGAGCTTGGAGTCTTTTCAATTCCTCTAAGCCTGTTCCATTTCTCGTGGCACACTCTCTTTGCTGGCTTCTATGACATTAAAGTCATAGGGGAAAAAATCCACTGCCTCCTGAAGAAATGGAAAAGAAATCCACGTGGATCCTCTTTAGTGGCTGTTGCTGTGTAACAAACCACCCCAAAGCTGAATGGCTTAAAACACAAAAATGATGTCTTAATTCCATGGTTTGACTGGGCTCAGCAGGGCAGTTCTTTAGCTCACAGGGTATAACTGCGACACATCAGGAGCGGTACTCAGGCAGGAGCATGGCTGGTGCTGGAATGCGCAAGGTGATAGCTCTACCTCTAGGACCCATCCAGGAGTCCTGGAGCTCCTTGACAGCATGGCATCCAGCTTCCAAGGGCACAAAACAGAAACTGCCTCCCTTTTGAAGGCTTAGAACTGTAGCCAGCACAGTGTTGCTTCCTCTCCATTGCACTACCAGTCAAAGCAAATCTCAAGGCCAACCCAGCTTCAAGGGGAGGGGAAATAGACTCCAGCTCGTAATGAGAAGAATGGCAAGGAATTTGTGGTCAATTTTAACCCACCAGAGACTTCCACATTTGCTTAGGCACAGTTATCACAATAGCTATTTGGACTTATTCCCTAAAGAGTTAATAAATCTGGGTCAGATCATCTTATGAAACTCCTAGAAGCTACTATTTCTCCAAAAGAACAAAATAGCTCAATTTCTGGCCTTAGGTTAATAGAAAAGTAATTTTCTAGACTCTTAAAATTCAAGAGCTGCTTTAAAAATGATTTAAAAATTCAGCTAGAATTTATATAGGTCTGTTTTACAGATACAACAATCAGGTGACATTATCTATAAAACCTACAGAAAGTAGGTGAAGTGAATTTTAATCAGCATTTTTTTCAGAAAGAAAAGCCAATATATTTCTGTAAAGAATATAACTATTTCTGAAAGGCAGGAACAGCCATAAATCAGAAGTGTCAACCAGCTCTATTACTAACGGTAGACAAGAGCCTGCTCCGGAGGCCCTGCCCAGGGGCAACCCAGCAGTGCCGGAACTGGCCACCAGGGGTCCCATTGGCTTCCTAGGAGGGCTGATCAAAGGGATGTGGTGCTGGAGATAAACCCTCCAGTCGACCAGAGTTAAGATACGCAGTTGGCTTTAAGCCAGCCTTCTCATGGGTCCTCCAACATGTCTTACTCCTTCTTACCTCTGAGTTTTCACAGACACCATTTCTGTCTATCATTACGCCCCACTCTCTCTCCTTCCCACACTTTTCCTTTTGTCTTAGCTAACTCCCCTTCATCTTTTAGGTGATGGGATTATAATTCTCTTCCGTAATGAAATTTTCTTTGAGTCCACCTCCTTTCCAAAATTAAGTCAGATGTTCTTGGGGCTATTCCTACTTCTGTTGTATAAATAATTTTGCAGAGGCTGCCCTACCTCTTCTCTAGGGTCTTAACCTATTGCTCAGGGGTGACCCCCAACAGCTATGTCTGTACACTAAGACCAGCTTCCCTGGCTCTGATCCATTAGTCCAGGGGCAGACAGTAAACTTAAGATGGACCAAAGACATTCCTTGAAAGAACTGGAGTTTTGATAACTAAGTTACATTAATGCAACACATCACAAGGAAGATCCATAAACTCCTGCCAAGGAGAGAGAGCTAATTTGACTCTTGCATGTTTATCTCCTCCCTGAAATTTTGTTAGTCACCTCTGACTTTGCCATGCATTCCTTTCTTTGATGAAACTATCCAGAGTTGTCTATAAGTCCAAACCAAAAATTTAAAATAATGTATACCAGCTGGAATGAATTCATGTACGCATGTACAATGAATGGTGTATTTGTTCTGTGTCCTTTTTCAGGGCTAGGATGAAGGCTCTGTGAAGACAGGGAAGATGTCTGCATTGCTTGGTGTTAAATCTTGGACACCAAGCAAGGCGCTTGGCACATGGTAAGTGGTCCATAAATATTTATTGAATGAATATATGGAAATATAAGACTAACGCAGCTCTTTGGCATTGCCTGAGAAAGAATGAGACTTTACTCTGGCTCAGCTGGAGGGTAAAGAGACCATCATGGGTTTAGATTCCATGTTGGTGAGAAATGCTTTGAATGGAAACTCTTGGTTGAATTGCTCAGGTAGTCACACAGCTCAACTTTTGGAAAACATCCTATATTATCTGACAGCAGAAAGAGTAAAGTATAAGGACCCTGATTACCTCTGGATGCCAAGGTTAGGTGAAGGAGCTTTCTTACCATAGATGAAAAAAAAAATCTCTTTAACTTGGTCAGTGCAGGAGGGAAGGATGGTAGCTCTGTGAAGCAGTAGACCCTGCAGGGCTGTGTGACCCGTCACAGACTGACTGGTGAGAGGGCTTCAGGAACAATGCTAGAAGTCTCCGGTGATTGGTGTGTGAGAACAGAGCAAGATGACAGCTATCTGCAGCAGGGAGAGTGGCTGGAGGTGGATGGAAAAGAGGGGCTAGAAGAGATCCCATTTCTTGTTCACTCCAACTCCCTGGAAACAGGGCAGGCAGGGTTCAAATTTCAGCACCCATATTGGCTCTAAAGCCACAGAACTCTGGGGTTGTTCCCTGCCCGCTAAGCTCTTAGCACGTCCAGGCTGGTGTCACAACGGTTATGCCATCTTAGATGCATGCTGCGGTATTGTAGTAAGAAGCAGGCTTCCAGCAGGACACAGGCTTTTAACTCATCCCAGAGGTGTGTCTCTTTGCCAGTTTATATTTTTTATAGGACATGAACCTGCTAGATAACTTGGTCTGATGTGTGAAAATTGAGTTTAAAAATGGGAGCTTTGTATCTTATCTCTGTGGTTTAGCCATCTACTTTCCAATTGCCCTGAAAGATGAAACAACTTTGCATTGGAATATGTCTTGATCACAGCCAAATACGGATGTAAAAGCATCCCTGAACTTTGGAATGATATCCAACTAAGAGTCAAAGACAAAAGCCTACTTTCCCAGCAGTCACAGTACAGTAACCTTCAAGCCCCATGATTCACCTCATTCTTCTTGGGGAAGGTTCCAGCTCTACCAGTTCAAGCTTGTCCAATCCTGCCAGAAAAATATTTTGCCAAAGTACAGGTGTCTATGTGGAGGTGAGGCATTTTGTTCAATTGTTATGGGTCCCAGACCACCACATCTGTTTTAGTAACAATTTTGTGCAAAACATTTCTTAATATTTGGTGAGGACCATAGCTTTAAACTTTTTGCTTAACAGTTCTTAAAGGCTTTGCTCTAATTAGCTAAGAAGAAATGATACAGCTCAGTGGTTAAGTTCCGACAGTCTATATCCAGACAATCTTGGTTCAACCTCCATTCTCCTGTTTGGTAGTGTGTGACCGTTCCTTATCCTCCCTAAGCCTCATTTTTCTCCTCTGTGAAATGGAGATAACAATAGAACATCACTCAAAGAATGAATGTAAGAATTAACCAGCAGACAGTAAGCATTCAGCAAATGTTATTATTATAGCTTTCCTGAACCCTGTCATAGAAAATAAACTTATTCTATATATTCAGATTTCTTAGTGTGGCAGTTTTTAAAAGTTGGTTACAAATCTTTGACCCTGCTCCCATTGAAGTGGTGTCTCTGCCCTCTCCACTTGAATCTGATCAGGCTTGTGACTGCTTTGACTTTAGAATCTACTGGAAGTGACATGAGGTGACTTCCAAAGCTAGGTCACGAAAGAACACGCAGCTTCTGCCTGTTGGCGGGAACACTGAGTTGCCATGTAGAGTCTGACTACCCCAAGGCTTCTAAGCTGGAGCAGTCATGGTAAGCACTGTAGCTGACAGTCCCATCTGAATCCAGCGTCCCTGCCTAGGGGCCAAGCATTTTGAAAGCAGATCCTCCACCTCCAACTGTTCCAGCCCTCCCCTGCCCGAGTCACCTCCAGCTGCTGGCGCCCCCCTAGCTGAGTTCCCAGACTTTACAGCATATAGACGAGTCATTCTCTCCAAATTCCTGACTCCCTGAGTTATGAACACAATAGAAGGCTATTAATTTATGCCACTAAATTTGAGGTAGTTTGTTATATACCAGTTAATATATGGGACATTTAGAAAATAATGCATTTGGGGGAAATAATGTCATAAAAGGGAAAATGAACCATATCAAAATCATCAGATCCAATCTGGATCTGTGTGCATAATTTTCAAATATACATCAGTTTTTACAGATGGCAACGTTTACTTTCTTCTGAGTTAAAAGTCCTATGTAAAACTGAAGGGCCTGCGGCAAACAAAATGCTGTATAAACTCCACCCACTGCAGGGCCCCACAGGGAGGCACACTAGCCCATGAAGACAGGGCCTTCTCTTACTTCTGTTGTAGAGAGAACTGAAGGGAAAGGAAAACTGAAAAGAAAAGCCGTCTGTTTAAATGGATCCCGATTGCATTCCAACCCATCAGATCAATAATGCAGAGATTCCTAACGTCAGCGTGCTGAGGCAGTTTTGCCAAACGCACTTGCCTATTGATTAACACTCTGTCTTTTAAATATAAACGTGCAAACTTCTTTGTTGGATCAGAATTACAGTATATTAAAGGCAGCAAGATACACAATACTCATTAGATTATCACCCAAATTTTATAAATGAAGAAAATGACGTTCGAGAAAGCAAGAAAACTCATCACCATAAAAGAAATGACAGTGCCTTTTACTGAGCACTAAAGAATACTCCAGTGTCCAGGCCTTTCTTCTGATGCAAAAGAAATGTGAGAATGGAGACTATATCCCCTACAGGCCTACCCATGGATCAGATCAGATCACAGGAAAGCTGTAATTTTGAATCTATTTTTCTGCCTCCTTACAGAACACCTTCCCTTGGCAAAAATGCACCATTAGACCTCATGTTTTACCACGGGTAGACACAAGAGATGGCCATCTGACAGTGATCGGTGGTGTTTGAGATCCTTTATATTAAAACATCTGAATAACTGTCTCAGAGCTAGATTCTTAGCAGACTTTTGCATTTTCTAATGAATTTTTTTTAGGTTACACAAGCTGTGGGCTCTGTCTTGTTTCCCTTGGTGAGCTGCTGCGCTAATGCACATGGTAGGTGCCTTTGAAGTCTGGTTCCCGTGCTGACAGCCTGGGTGAGCAAGTCAACCTCTTAAGCCTCCATGTCTGCATCTTCACTGAGGGTCATCATCTCACCACCTGCATGAGCGTTGTTGTGAAGATTAAGTCGGGTACTATGATACAGGGACAACCTTCATAGGAGAAGAATGGTTTCTCCTTTTTCACTTTTTTTCAAGTACTAGGATCTCTTCTGCCTTAGATGTCTAATAAAGTACAAATAGCCCAGTATTTTTCTTTACTTTGTCCAAAGAAATGTGGTCAAATCTAAATGAGAAAGCCTGGTAGCCTGTTCCATTTGTTCTCGATCATAATTCCAAAGATGTTATCTAAGAAGGATTTTTACTAATTCTTTAGACACCATGGATTTATTTCCATATTATTTTCAGCTAGAGGGTTTCAGGTTAAAGCAAGAAACAAATAAACAAAAAGAAAACAGTTTGCTCAGACTATGATTTTCAAAGATGAATAACATTATTTCCCCCATTCACACACACAAAAAAATGACAAGTCATCCAGAAGAGAAAGCAGACATGTTCACTTACAGAGGCATGAATTTTATTCATCCTCTTGAAAACTTCTTTCTGCACCAAAGTGATTCCAAACTCTGCTCCCTACATCTTAGCCAATCAGAGAGACCTCGTTAAGCTCATGAAACATAAGGTTTTAATTTACAAGGGATCATCTATATTTCTTTCCCAGGGCCTCACAGAAGGACTACATTTTAAATCTAATACAAATGCCTATATGTCTTGCAACCATTTTCCCAGATAGTATACACTATTTCCAATTGCATAATGACAACAGAACAAATTAAAGCAGAGCCGTAAGATAGCTCTTTGTATGTTAAACTGAGACTTAAGTAATCTACGTAGCAAAATCTTCTTTTATAGTTTAATCTTTGAATTATAAGAAAATTTCGGGCTAATAACTACCCTAATCTGTTGATGATAATTCAGTGATGACCATTTTTTTCCTTTCATAATTCTATTTTTTAAAATATGTTTTGTGAGATCTGTGTATAAGTAATCCATGATTCATACCTAGACCTATGGAACATACCCATCTATATAAAAATTTTAAGTCTTAACCATGTTTAAAATATAAATTCTAACAAATCGTGTCTGATTCACAAAAGATAAGTTAGTTTAGGATCTTAATATGAATCAGCTATATGTGCCCTATAAGATAAAAGTCAAAATAGTCAAGCTGACAGTCACTTTTAATAAGTTGTTTTAGGGAGAGCAATATATGTTTTTAAAAGCTGGCCCTTTCAAAGAGAGTCTATAAATTGAAGTTCCATGTATAAATGAATCCAAGAACCATCTCACCAATGTTAAGAACAGATTTGTGTAAGAATGAAGAAAAAAATTAAGACAGAAAAGACATTTAGTTTTAGAATTCTTGCAAAAGTATACAGATGTTTTGGAAGACTTAGCTTATGCCAAAATTCCTGGGTTGGAAATTCCAGAGGAAAGAGGTATCAATGTTGCAGAAACTCAGGCAGAGTTACACCTGAAGTGTCTCTACAAAGACAATTAAACAGACTCCTATGTGATGCCACCAAGGACGGCAGGAACTGCACAGCCCAGGCTGGCTCTGTCACTGTCAGCTCCCTAACCAACCAACATCCATCCCTACACTAGAAATTCAAATATGAGAAAGCATCAGGAACTCAAGTATTGAAAGCCAAGTTTTCACTTTCCACTCTTAACGTACCAAAGTAATACAGAGGTGAGAGTCTAACCTTATAAAGCTTAGTTTTAAAATATATTAGGTCTAATCCAACATTTCTCGAACTGTATTATACAGAGCACAAGTGTCAAGTTGTCGTGTGAGAGAGAGAAAGAGAGAGTCCCAAATGTGGGAAATACTAGGAAGACAAAGTTTAAAAAAGATTCTTCACCTTAGGACTTCTCAGGGATTTTATTAGTCTAACATGAATTTCCAGTAAGGACACAGAGCATGGCCTTTCCTCAAACTTACTTGAACAAATTTTTTTCACAGAACATATTTGGGGAAGATATTATTATTTCACAGAACACAGCTTGGAAAATGCTGATCTAATGCATCAGTGAGTCCCAGTATTGATATCCCTGCCTTCTCGATCTTGGTATGCAAGACTATATTAAACACTGAGAAATCATCACGAGCTGCCCTCAGAAACCACATTTTCTTCTATACTTTTTAGAAGTGGACATGTTCCCATAATGTTATTCAATGGAAACCCATGGGTTTTGGTCACACACAAGACCTACTCTGGCACTTTCTGGCTATGGGAACTTGGACAAATAATTTAACTACTTTGAGCCTTAGATTCTTCATCCATTAAAAGAAAATTATAATTACTACTTACCTCAAAAAGTGGTAAAGTTTAAGTGACACAATGTAGTGCACTTAGTGTACATTAAGAAAAACAATGCCAAATGCATATGGTAGGGGCTCAAAAATATAGTCTTAACGTACGTTGTAATCTCTGTCATTCAACAAAGACATCTCAAGCCTGCCACCTGCACGCCAGTGACAAAGCAACTCACCTAAAAGCTCAAGGTCTGCCAGGTTGCAGTGGAGAATTCACCTAACCACTGTCCATGGGTGCCCAACTGTATGTAACTGGAACTGGTAATTATCCATATTTAACCTCACATAGGCAATCTGGAGAGAGTTCAGAAGATTTGGAAAAAGCCTGATAAAACAAGATCTTTGCTATAAGAAAACTTGACTGAGTCTGATGCTTGAAGAACCAGTATCAAGAAGGAATCGGGTTATGTTTATAGTTTTTAACCTAGTTGAAATATTTTTATTACCAAGTTCAGAAGAGTTCATGCTTACTTAGTAATTTTTATCTGTGGATCTCAAACCTTTCCACATCCTGACAATAATATATTTTAGAATATAGTAAAAATATGCTGCTCATAGTTTCCTTCTAACATTTTTTTTATCCGCTGCCTTCATCACCTCCCCAAATGACCTTCCATAACACTAACTGTTATTGGTTACAACTCTGACCTGTTCCTGATTTTAATAGTTTCCTCTGTATTACATAAGTCTGATAAGTGAAATAATGCATTGGTATAAAAATAAATAGACAATCTAGGTGTTTGGTTTTTTTTTAAATTTGGAAGACAACTCTCAGGAAGTGAGTTTTTGTTTGTTTGTTTGATGAGATCTTTTTTCACAATCCACTGACAGAAAACTATAGAAAACTGATTTTTTAAGATAAAAAGAACAATAGGTACTCAAAAGAACATAGAAAGAGTTAAAATATGCATGTAATTAAATTCAAGCCAAACAAGGTCATTTAACCTGTAGTTCTTCCTTTGAAATTTCCGGTCTAGTACTCTTAATTATAAACTGGAGAAAATTAACCAATTCTTAGGTGATGTTTTTGGTTCCTTCCAGCTTCATGATTTGGTAAAAAAAAAAATGACATTTTTTTTCCTTTTTAACTCTGATTGCACTTCTGAGCCTCCTCTCTAGTAAGTATCACCATCCAGTGGAAGATAAAACAAGTTAAAGAGTTTCAAAAAACTTTTGAAGCAGGACAGTGTCACCTACTGTGGAAAACAGAACCAGACTCTGCCAAACTCCCTGAGCCCTACCCTCCTGAGGGAGAAGAGGATGAGTCTGCAGTGATGGTGATGGTGGATGCTTAATGCACATGATGCTTCTTGGTAATTAATGCATTAGAATAAATTCATTTTTCATCCAGCCCTGTCACCAAGAATGACCTTGAGAGAATAGAACACAAGACAGGTAAGTATTTACAAGAGAGGAGTGGCAGAAGGAAAATGGCTTGGTACAGTTTCTAAGCATGGGATACTATCGGCAGAAGAAAGAGCATAAGGGCAGGAAGCTAGAGAAGATTGTCCCTGGGAGACTGTGGGCCAGGATGCTGGCAGATAAAGTGAACAGTTATGGACTGTGAGTGCTCAAAGGACCTCGGAGAGCACCTGTGCTTCCCAATTTCTTTTTCAATACCAAAATCTTTCATGAATTATTGCCAACACACACACACACTCACTCACATTTGATACCTGTCGTCCATTTAGTACCTGTTGTATTTTCTTTCTAAAAATACCAGAAATCCAGAAATGCTTTAAAACGAATATGAATTTTCTAAATTAACTACATCCATGAATATTTGAAAAATGTTAAGTATCTGAGATGTCATTTTGTTTTAACAGATAAAGATATATTTTTTAGAGACACCAGCATGTATGGTGAGGAAATTCACAGTGCCCTGTTAAAACTACGTAAGTAGAAGTAATAGTCCTCTTAAGTAGTGACCTTTATGTCTAGACTAATGTTATAAGCTTCCCAGTGACATTGCGTCCCAGGTTCCCTCTTTCCCAGTCATCCTGAAGCCACCCCCTGCTTATGTAGGAAAAGTGACCCTCAATAGCTCCCTATTGCCTATGTAGTTCAACCCAAACCTTCTAGTATGGACTAAAACTTTCTCCTGCCTTCCCCATAATATCTCAGCCACACACATCCCCTCTCAAGCTTCAGCAATTTAAGCACTTCAGGGTCCTGTCTTTTACACCTTCCACCCACCTCTCCAACAGAATTCTCCCCACCCGTTTCCACTGGCTGCTTTCCTGTGCTCCTTTAGCTTTGAGATGGGGATTCTGATAAGTGATCTACATTTCTGTGCTCCATTGCACTATGCCTTCCTGTAAGGCTGGCCCTGTCTTGCTCCTCTTTGTATTCTACTACCTAACAGTGCTTATAGCATAATAGGAGCTTGGTAAGTACTTATTAAATGAATGAATAAACAAATGATAGAAAATAATTGTAGAAAAGTATCCCAAGAGACAGCCTAATCACCAGCCAACAGATCTTAGGTAGAATTAATAATACAGTGGCATTTTACTGATAAAACTGAATCATGTAGTTAAACCATCACTTGAAAAAGTCTTACATGGAAAACAACAAGAATGTAAGTCAGCTGAGATGGACTGTGTTGTTTGGAATCAGGAAGCAAACATGCAGTTTGCTTTTTGCTTTCAGACTTCGTTGTTTTGGTTTTTAAAGTGGCATCTGCAGTTCTGCGAGTTAGTGGAATACCACTCTGTGGCACCCAACTGGCCCAGGTCTTACCCTCCCAGGATTTCCCCCAAAGCCGTGGGCGTCCCGGATTCTAGAAGACTCCTAGGAGCTCCCCCAAGGGTCCGGGCTGTCCGCCAGCCATAGCTCGGTCGGACCACCTCTGGGGTCTCAGGCCGCGAGGACTCTGCTCCTGCAGAGTGGTCGTCGGGTTCTCTAGTTTTTCCTCTCTAAATATTTATTGGGTAGTTTCCCTTGGCTTCTGTTTCTGGATTGATAAACAGGAGAAAAAGGAGTTTGCCTACAGAAAGGATAACAGTAGCAGATGGCCTATCTGGCCTTACTTTTAAAATTCCATCAAAGTTTGTGTTTTGTTGCTGTTTTTCTTTGACAGCGATCCCGTGAACTTCTCCTTGGTCCGGGAAATGGCGCGACCAAAGCCCGCCAGGCCCAGCCTGAGAGCTCTAGGATTTATCAGAGTAATGTTTTAAATAAAATCTGGACAGACATAAACTCAAAGGAAGCGGTGCGTTCCTTAAGTCAAAGGCATCTGTTCTGATCGAAGCGCTCAGTTTGCTGTGTGTAACCAGCGTTAAGAGCAGCATTTTTAAACACGAAAATGGATAAAAGAAAAGAAAAGCTAAGTCCCGCGGTCCGCGGACTCCTATTCATTATCTCCAGCAGCATATGGGACCATTCTCCCACTCGTCCTCGCCCTTTCTTCTGCAAAAGCAAAAGCAACCAAGCCTGTCCCGCTTCATAGCAAACCCACTCTTTGTGCCTGAGCGGTGCCTCTGCCACCAGTACTACTTCCTCCTCCCGCCTCCTCCTCCCACCCGCCGCCGACTTTCGCTCTGGGAAGGAGGCGGCGGGCGCCCTTTGCGCCGGGAAGCCAGTGCAGCCATTGGGCGACGATCCCTGAGCCTCCAGTTCCGCGTCGGTTTCAAGGCTCCTCCCTCCTGGTGAAAGACAGACTGCGGGGCGCCTGGAAACCGGTCCGAGGGCGCGCGAGAGAGGAGAGCAAGCGAGTTGAGGGATTGACACAAATGGTCAGGCGGCGGCGGCGGAGAAGGAGGCGGAGGCGCAGGGGGGAGCCGAGGCCGCTGGGCTGCCGAGAGTTGCGCGCTCTACGGGGCCGCGGCCACTAGCGCGGCGCCGCCAGCCGGGAGCCAGCTAGCCAAGGGCCAGGAAGGCGGGACGCGACCCGAGCCACCCGGGCTCTCCTCGCAGCCCGCGCTTCATGAATCGCAAGTTTCCGCGGCGGCGGCGGCTGCGGGACGCGGAGCGGGAGCCGGGAGAGCGGGCCGTGCGCGGCCCGGGCTCGACGGAGGGCACCGGCGGGGAGGAGATCGCCCCGGCCGCAGGGGGAGCCGCCACCGGCCGCGCCACCGCCAGCCCCAGCCGAGCGGCGCCCAGAAAGGAGCCGAGAAAGTATGGCTGAGGAGGAGGCGCCTAAGAAGTCCCGGGCCTCGGGCGGCGGCGCGAGCTGGGAACTTTGTGCCGGGGCTCTCGCGGCTGGGCCGGTGGCAGAGGGAAGCGGGGACACGGGCAGCCGCCGCCACCGAGCCTCAGCTCACTCCCGGCGCTTAGCGCGCCGGCTGCTACTACTGCTTTGGCTGCTGGAGGCTCCGCTGCTGCTGGGGGTCCGGGCGCAGGCGGCTGGTCAGGGGCCCGGGCCGGGACAGCAGCCCCCGCCGCCGCCACCTCAGCAGCAGCAGAGCGGGCAGCAGTACAACGGCGAGAGGGGCATCTCTATACCGGACCACGGCTACTGCCAGCCCATTTCCATCCCGCTGTGCACGGACATCGCATACAACCAGACTATCATGCCTAACCTGCTGGGCCACACGAACCAGGAGGATGCGGGCCTCGAGGTGCACCAGTTCTATCCACTAGTGAAGGTGCAGTGCTCGGCCGAGCTCAAGTTCTTCTTGTGCTCCATGTACGCGCCCGTGTGCACCGTGCTGGAGCAGGCTCTGCCGCCTTGCCGCTCCCTTTGCGAGCGCGCGCGCCAGGGCTGTGAGGCGCTCATGAACAAGTTCGGCTTCCAGTGGCCTGACACACTGAAGTGCGAGAAGTTCCCGGTGCACGGCGCCGGCGAGCTGTGCGTGGGCCAGAACACTTCGGACAAGGGCACCCCGACGCCCTCACTGCTGCCTGAGTTCTGGACCAGCAATCCCCAGCATGGCGGCGGGGGTCACCGCGGCGGCGGCGGCTTCCCGGGCGGCGCCGGCGCGTCAGAGCGAGGCAAGTTCTCGTGCCCGCGCGTCCTCAAGGTGCCGTCTTACCTCAACTACCACTTTCTGGGGGAAAAAGACTGCGGCGCGCCCTGCGAGCCGACCAAGGTGTACGGGCTCATGTACTTTGGGCCGGAAGAGCTGCGCTTCTCGCGCACCTGGATCGGCATCTGGTCGGTGCTGTGCTGCGCCTCCACGCTCTTCACGGTGCTCACCTACCTGGTGGACATGCGGCGCTTCAGCTACCCGGAGCGGCCCATCATCTTCCTGTCAGGCTGCTACACGGCAGTGGCCGTGGCCTACATCGCCGGCTTCCTGCTGGAGGACCGGGTGGTATGTAATGACAAGTTCGCCGAGGACGGGGCGCGCACAGTGGCGCAGGGCACCAAGAAGGAGGGCTGCACCATCCTCTTTATGATGCTCTACTTCTTCAGCATGGCCAGCTCCATCTGGTGGGTGATCCTGTCGCTCACCTGGTTCCTGGCAGCCGGCATGAAGTGGGGCCACGAAGCCATCGAGGCTAACTCTCAGTATTTTCACCTGGCTGCCTGGGCCGTGCCGGCCATCAAGACCATCACCATCCTGGCCCTGGGCCAGGTGGACGGTGACGTGCTGAGCGGGGTGTGCTTCGTGGGGCTCAACAACGTGGACGCGCTGCGCGGCTTCGTGCTGGCGCCACTGTTCGTGTACCTGTTCATCGGTACATCTTTCCTTCTGGCAGGCTTCGTGTCCCTCTTCCGCATTCGCACCATCATGAAGCACGACGGCACCAAGACCGAGAAGCTGGAGAAGCTCATGGTGCGCATCGGCGTCTTCAGCGTGCTTTACACGGTGCCAGCGACTATCGTCATCGCCTGCTACTTCTATGAGCAGGCCTTCCGGGACCAGTGGGAGCGCAGCTGGGTGGCCCAGAGCTGCAAGAGCTATGCCATCCCCTGCCCCCACCTCCACGCGGGCGGAGGCGCCCCGCCGCACCCGCCCATGAGCCCCGACTTCACAGTCTTCATGATCAAGTACCTTATGACGCTGATCGTGGGCATCACGTCAGGCTTTTGGATCTGGTCCGGCAAGACCCTCAACTCCTGGAGGAAGTTCTACACCAGGCTAACCAACAGCAAACAGGGGGAGACCACCGTCTAAGACCAGAGGCTCAGCCCATTCCCAGCCCTTGGCCTGGTGCCCCCAGCTGCCCCCAAAAGTTGGCCCCATGGAATCCTTGCCAAATCTGGCTGCTCAAGTCTTCCTCACTAGCCATTCGCTTTCGCAGGCTCCTTTTAACAACAAGTCTCCTGCAAAAGCTTCTGTCCTTGGGGGCAGACTCTACTGCCAGAGGGGGGATGCACAGAGCTCTCTTGCTCTCACACTCTGGTACCTGGAACTGTACGCTTTTGTGATTGTAAATAGCCTGTGTAAGATTTTTGTAAGTATATTTGTATTTAAATGACGACCGTTCACGCGTTTTTCATTTCCTTTTTTTGTTTTTGTTTAAATTTTAATTATTTAGGGCGGTTTAACCATTCGAGGCTTTTCCTTCTTGTCCTTTTCAGAGTAGGGCAGAGAGAAAATCCGAGCGCACAGCTTGCTCCTCCTGCTCGTGCTGGCGCGCCCCTCCCTGCCACGGGTGGGGAACGCCTGGGGCTGCGCCGCCCGGGTCACTTCCCTGCTCCTCTTTCTGCTCCCTCCCTTCCCTTCCTTGCTCGGGGCCGGGACTCTTAAGGTACAGAACTACACAAAGCTTACGAATCCGGGGGTGGGCCTCCTGCCCATCCCAGGCCTGCCCTTGTCTGGGGCCAGAAAGCAAAGGCCTGTCCCTTTGACTCTCCGAAGCTGAAATTTTCACTGTCCAGAACCTTCCCCCTGGCTTCAAGGAGGCCCGCAGGGTGCACTGGCGGTCGCACTCTCCTTCTGTCTGGCCCCCAACGCCCAGACACTCCCTTCTTCCACCTAAGTTGGTTACAGGGTGAGTGGGATAACCAATGCCAAACTTTTTTAAGTCTAATTTTTGATGGATGAGCTCATTTCATTCTCTAGCGTCTAAAACCTGGTATGGGTTTGGCCAGCGTCATGGAAAGATGTGGTTACTGAGATTCGGGAAGAGGCATGAAGCTTTGTGTGGGTTGGGAGAGACTGAAGATGGGGGTTATAAAATGTTAATTCTAATTGCATACTGATGCCTGGCAACCTGCCTCTAGGGTTGAAACAGCCTGAGTTGAGATTTTACCGTTCTGTAAAATGGAAACGTTTGGTCACCTGGAAAGCTTTGTTAAAGAGTTGATCTTTGCTTTCCTTTAACAGGAAATGGTAAACTGAATATGAAACTTGAAGGAGATTTCAGTGTAATGGACTTCCCCAAAATGAAATGCTACTTTATTGTTTTTAATCAAATAATAATTAGACATTTATCAGAAACTTTAAAATGTAAAAGTTGTACACTTTCAACATATTATTATGATTATTATTCAAGGGAGGAACAATCCACATCACTAATAATAACCTGGTAAGATTCCAGGAGGCAAAGGAGGTGGAATAATTGATGGGATTAGCTCCTGAAATAAACAAAATATGGGCATGCATGCTAAAGGGAGAATGTGTGCAGGTCTACTGCACTAAATCCTATGTGCTCCTTTTTGGATTTACAGAAATGTGTCAAATGGAAATCTTTCAAAGCCATTTAAAAATAATTCACTTTAGTTCTCTGTGAAAAAGAGGAGAAAAGCGATCCTCCTGATTGTATGGTTTTAAACTTTAAGAGTTTATCAAAATACCGGTACTTAGGACCTAAATTTATCTATGTCTGTCATACCCTAAAGTGACAATGGTCTTTGAATTTGGTATGCATTTATTCTGTTCACTATCACAAAATCATCTATATTTATAGAGGAATAGAAGTTTATATATATATAATACCATATTTTTAATTTCGCAAATAAAAAAATCAGTTTTGTACAAAATTATATGGTTTTTTGTGCCTGAAAATAATAGAGCTGGAACTGTCTGCACTATGAAACTATCTTTACATTTTATAGTGTCTATAGTCAATCTCACAGTATATAAATTCAGGAATTCAAGGAAAAAGTCTATCTGTAAACCTTCAGATCCTTCCAAAGAATTAGCCTGCTTGCATGGTGCTTGATGTTGTAAAGTCCCTAGAAAAGGTCTGCTTCCATGGTAGTGACAGTATAAAATAGAAGTTTGCAAATTATTTCTTTACTCAAAGAAGATGATTAAAAAGAGAATTCTCATTTTATTACAGCTTTTTTTTCTTTTAAGGGGTACATTTACATGACTTTTTATAATATGGAGGTTTATTTTTATATCATCAGCCATCATCTTTGTCATGATTTTTATGAAGTATTATCTTATACTTTCCATAATCTTAGATATTCCAAAACCATAAATAGGCAATCAGTAAATGGTTAACTGACAGTGTGTTTATAAGCATTTTAAACAGCAGTTGGGTGTATAGGGCTGTTTTATTGTTTGCTTCTGAAGACCCATTTTTATATTGTTCAAGGAACCTCTCCCTGAGGAATTATCTAGTTGGCCTACTGTTAGTCAGAATTTACATAAATGTATATATATGTAGAATGTATATACAGATATGTGTATATATATATATGTCTATATAATATACACATAAGTATACACACACTAATTTTTATAAAATAGAGATGCAAAGTTTACTTATATATTTTACAATATGGAAATAAGGTCATGAGAAAAGGAAAATGCTAGATGGAGTACACCTCAAATACCTTTGGAAAACAAGTCTCATTATAGACTAACTTTATTAAATTTTCTCATGAAAACATTTTGTGGGCTAAAATGAATACCTTTAATACAATAGAGTTACTTTAATGGTTATAAGGCAATTGACTTACAAGTCATCATATTAATTATTTTAAGGCAATTGAAAAAATTATATCTAATTGAAAATACAGTATTCAATTTTAATTAGCAAGGTGCAATTTTATGTTCTTTTTTCTTTGTTACATTAATCTAATATAGTAGATATCTGAGAAGATTTTATTGTAGAGAAACACGCACAAAATAGCAATTCTTAGGCCACATTAAAACATGTCTTCTCACTAGATAATTCAACAGATAATTTCTGGGAAAAAATTTTAAGATTATTAGTCTCTATCCAAAAAATAAATATAAAGCATTCTCATTGTGGGTGTCCTTAAAATGATGTAACTATAAATTTGATGCAGAAAGGATTTATAATGCTGGATTTAAGTAGTTTAAAAAGACATTTTAAAGTCACTACTAGGCTTTGTTTTTAGAGAACAATTTATGTTAAATTGTGTAGCATATAGAGAGCCAGTGTGCTCTTTTGTTTCTTTCAATAGTGATGGCAAAATAAGACTTGTCTTAAAAAAACAGAGCTATCGGGACTATAGTGCCATTAGTATGCTGTTTCCATGACAAACTCTATTTTCAGATTATTTGGTTTCCCTATTTTATTTTTTTTAAGCCAGCTATCAATTAGGGTCAATTTTCCCCCTCATGGCGTGCTTGGTTCCGCTTTTGTAGTAAATGTATACATAATATGAAAGCTTTCTGTTGCTCTTTTTTTGGGGGAAAAAGCCATTTGTTTAACTTAAACTTTGTGGGGGGCAGAAAGTCATATTTTTAATCTCAAAGCCAGCCAGTGTCAAACATATGCAAAACAGCTGGATCGGATTTTCCAGTTTGTCTGGGGCAGTCACTTGTTAGCCTGAGTTTACAGTCCTGGTTCTTTTGTCTCCACGGAGCACTGAAGCCGTCTGCTGTAGTTGCATCATTCCCAGAGTCCAGCATTATTGAACTCAGAAAGGAGTCCACAGTGAAGAGTTGGTGACCAATTTTTTTTTAATTTCCTAAATCGCAAACCATTTCAGGACTTGGATTGCTTCAAATCCCTTTCCCTGATATCATGTTTCAATCTCAGTACATATTCATTTTTTTAAAAGATGCTGTATTTTCAGTGTGTGTGTTTGTGCTCAACTTTAGCTACTCTTGCTTTTATTGCTTCCTAATCCATCTATTGGCTATAAGCCAGATTTTATGTAAGACATGCAGTTAATTGAAACCAGTGTTATGACACTGGGTGTCTCTGATACATTTCTGATTATAATGATCTGTGTAACAGGGGCCTGAGAGATAATCAAATATGTGGTCATTACATATGTCTAAAGGTGGAACCTAGTGATGTTGTCATTAAATACTTCACAAAATATACGAATATCAAAGTCTTGCAGGATTAACTTGTAGGAGCCAAAATAAGATGTGGGCTACATTTAAGAATTCTCCAGTTACATTATTAAAACGGAATTGCAATACCACCTTAAATTCAAGACTTTTATTTTAAGACTTTTACATTTGAAATGAGGTCTTCCAAGGGAAATGCCAAACAGGTAAAGTTTATTTTGGCGACTCCTAAGATTTATATCTATATTTTGAACTGTTGGCAGATACCACTAGCCCCTAGAATTTGAGAAAGAGTATTCGAGTTTCACGACTCAGAAGTCCCTAAAATTTGGGGGGCTTAAGTATTTCTATTCACTTTAGTCATACCTTTTGACAGTGGATGTGTTAAACCATAACAATTATAATGATAAAACAGCTTATTTGCAACCTGGTGATAGCATTTTCTAAAGAAATCATTAAACACTAGTTGAATGGCATATGTGTATAAATAATAATTCTAGAAGCAAAGTATTAGAATAGCGTTGATTTGCACACTTTACACATGCATGTTATTTTTAAATAAAATTGACTTGCTTGAGGACAATAAGTTTTAGGTTTTAAAATTTGTAAGATGCATATTTCACATAAAGAAGCTCTCAATAAATTTTGTTCACAATATAAACTTTCAAAACATGTTCACAGGACTACAGTGATTAACATGAAAAGGAACCACTATTGCTGCTTTGAGATGGTCCTCTGTGGCCTGGATTTCTTTTCTTTCCTTTTTAAAATCCAAGTATCCTCTAATTTGTGGATATCTCCATGTTTCAGATCTTAGTACCTGTTTGAATTAAATTTGCAGGGGACTAACTGTAGGATCCCCCCATAGACAAAGTGCGGCCTTTATTTCCTTTCAAGTTGGCAGCGTGTCCTTGCTTAAATGAAGCTCTCGGAGACAGATTGTTCTCTTGCCCTTGGAAATGCTCGTCTTCACAAACGCAGCAGCAAATACCTGGCAGTCATACAGGCTAGTTAAAGTATATTCCAAATGCCAAGTGCTGCTTGATTGTTACAAAGGTTTTTTTTTTTTTCCTTTAAAGGTAGATTTAGAGACTATTCCCGACCTTATCTTTCACCCAACTCTTGGAGAGCACTTTCTGAAAGTTAACTTCAATAAATATTCCATCAAAAACTCATAACTCAGGCAGAGTGACCCACTATTTGGGTTTGTCCAGGACTGAGGAGTTTCTTGGGATGTGGGATTTTCAGTGGCAAAACCAGGAAAGTCCTGGGCAAACTGGGATGAGGGGTCACCCTAGTCCATGGATTAAACAGTGCTTCCCAGTTAGAGTAAAACCTGTGGTGGGCACTGGTCCGGCATTAGAAGTATCCCCCTGTAGCTTTAGCCTTGTTCATTACCAGATGAAAAGCCGGTGAACACAGCCCTTTGTAACTGATTTTGACAGTAAGTACCAATCAACAAGACGCTGAGTGGGTCATGAGGTATAAGTGGAACAAACCACACTGATACCTTGGCCATTCTGTCTTCTGCCTCTGGAATAAATAGGGGCATAGACACGGGAACCTAACTGGCCACTGAGCCCTATTCTTGCTGCTTATGAAATCAGAGCAAGCAGCTATATTTTATAAGAGACTTTCAAAATTATACCCTTGGAATGAAATGTTGTGGGGGTTTTTTGTAATTGATATTAAAGTTTATCGGATTGTAAGGAACTGTTAGGTTTTTGCATGTGTTTTTTATTTTCCTGTTAATACAGCCCACTGTAATGAGATTACAAACTCAAGCAGGGATTGCCCCAAATGACTATACATCAACTCTGAATTTAATTGTCATACTTTTTCTCAGAAGTAAGTAGGTTTAACACCCATACTTCCCCCCAAATGAAAAGTCGTATCCATAGGACAGAAAAAAAAAAGGTAGATAAAATTCTACAGTGATTACTGGGAATTGTAGAATGTAGGGTGTGGACTAGGCAATCCACTGCACTCACATTTCTATTTGCATGAAACTCTTTAATCAGAATTGGTCCACCCCTTTTTATACTGAGCTCATCATTCTTGTCATCCTTCTTATCCATCCATCCCTGTTGGTCTTGTAAATGTACATACAATTTCACTGTTGAAATTTCACTCTTTTGTTAAAACAAAACACTGTTCTTGCTATCTTTTTATTAAGCTCAACATAAAGAAATAAAAAAGATATGCAGATAATGTAATTATTTCAGGAGGTACATACACATTAGACTCTAAAGCCTTGATCCTCGACGGGGCAGTTTTGGTCCCCAGGAGACATTTAGTACTGTCTGAACACATATTTGATTGTCATGACTGGAGGGTGGGTTTACAATGAGCATCTAGTGAGTAGAGGCCAGGGAGGCTACTGAACATTTTACAGTGCACAGGACAGCCCCTGACAACAAAGAATTATCTGACTCAGAGTGCCAAGGGTGAGAAACCTTGTTCTAGAGGAATACTTAAAATTGTGAAATATACATTTTAAAATAATAAAATATTAAATTTATTAAGTAGGATTGAGAAAAATATGAATTTCCTTGTGCCTACAGCATGGACTTAACTTTTGCCCTGCAGATTTTGTTTTCCCTGGTGAACAGCCGGATGATATTGCATAGTAGTCAGTGCCTTTATCTGCTCAAGCTGCTATAACAAAACACCACGGACTGCTTAAACAATAGACATTATTTTTCACAGTTCTGGGGTCTGGGAAATCCAAGATCAAGGAGGCAGCAAACTCGGTTTCTGATCCTACTTCCTGGCTTAGAGTTAGCCACCTTCTCACTATGTGCTCCCACAGGTCCCATGGGGGTGGAGAGAGAGCTTTCCCTTCTCATAAGGGCTCTGATCCCATCATGAAGGTCCCATACTTATGACTGAATCTAAACCTCATTATCTGCCCGAGGCCCTACTTCAAATATCTACACTTTGGCGGTTAGGGCTTCAACATATGAATTTGGGGGGGAAGCAAACATTCAGCCCATAATAGTCAATAAAATAAATCTGCTTTTATATTTAAATCTAGACAAGGACACAGTATAATTTCAGTGGGAAAAAATCTATAAATAACATTTAACAAGTTTATTGGAAAAATCTCTTAAAAGGTTAGTATTATGCTATTACACTCCATATTCTACATTTCCATTTTCTTTTACACATTACCCTGCATCATTGAAGTGGTTACAGTACAGATGAAGAACTCTAGACTGGGAGGCAGAAAACCTAGACTCCAGTCTGGACTGGGCTAAGCACATTGGATGAGTTTTACTCACAGGATTTCATGAGTCAAATGGAGACACTAATGAAATAACAGACATGAAAACCCTTTTATAAATGGTGAAGCTCTGTACTAATGTTCAGGGTTTCCACTGTCACTTGCACGGAGCTAACTAAGGAGGAGACTGTGATATCTTGAAGGCTCTTTCTCAGCTTTGACTACTCCTCTCCACTTTTGGAAAAGGATGTTTCAGTCACTGAAGGGACCCAAGGGTGACTGGGGGTCTTTCTGCAGTTTTCCTGACCACCATCCACTGGCTGTATCAGTTCACTTGGGTTCTCTGGGACACACTTAGGATTTTTCCCAGTTTTCAGGAGACTCTGGTTAAATTTAGTATAAATCAATCTGCAGTGCACTATTTGAGTGGGGTGAGAGTACTTTAAGGTCAAAGGAGCAGGAGGGCTAAGGGTATGTTCTAGATTCAAATGTGACAAATTCACAGGCAGACAATGGATTGCGAGCCCTCACTGTGTCACAGGTGCCTCAGAAGCTGTGTTGTCCATCTGTTCATTAATGAAGCTGGGGTAGATGTGAGAAGCAGTTTGTGATGGGATGTTTTGTGCCCTGAAGGGAGACAGGTGGGGGTCCTTTAGGCAGTGGAAGGGGTAAAAAAAGAAATGGATACAATGAAAGCCAAAGGCAGCTTATTTTTCTTGGAACTAGCTCTCATGGGAGTCAATAGAGTGGTAGTTGAATGGAATAGGGCCATAATCCTGGATTGGAAATATGACCACCTTTCCTCTTCCTCCTTTTAAAAAAAAATCAATTTCAAGATAATAGGGACTTGAACACAAAGAAGTTGAATGTCATCTTGGAAAGAATTTTGGACTTGCAAGACACGGCTTGAATCCCAACTAGCTCTTAGCCTCAGATCCACTTGTCTGAAATGGTAACAATAACAACTTTTGACTAATTCATATGGCTGCTGGGAGGATTAAAGAAATAAAGTCTGTAATGGTATTGTTAGCACTTGAGAGTCATCTACCTAGTCTTCCTTTCCCTGCTGTGTATTTCTTTTCTTTCTTCCTCTCCCACCTGTTATTCTCCCCCACCACTTCCTCACTCCTCTCT